CCGTTCTATCGCCAACGAATGATGAGTGTTTATAGAAATCTGACAAACACATTCGCTCATTAAAGAGGAGAAATATGGAAATATCATGAAATGGGCCGAATTGTGAAACATAGGAATTAGGCCAAGTGTTAGGGGTCAACACAGAAATCCTTTCATAGATCAGTACCACAGACTGAACCATTCGCGCAGTAGTGCGCGTCAGCCAAACTGGTCTCTTATTATTGTTGATAAGGTGGTAATTGAGCTGGTTGAAATTTCTCAAAACTTTCCGGACACCCCTAATAGCAACAATGCCTTCTTCGCGGTGTACTGAAGACACAGACACCATGGGCGTCGCAGCACTTCGGTTCATATGTATTTGTGTTCAGCAAGACTGGGCTCCAGCCCATTCTAGCAAGTCTACGATTGAAGCTTGCGAAGAGTTGTTTCAGAGATTTTGGGCTAGGACGTTCCCTTAAAGCAAATAATCTGAGAAGTCCGATGCGTTACTGTGGATCACCTAAAAGCGGGGTTGCTGCGTTCTTGGGACGAAACTAGTGTAGAAGAATGCGCGACCATTGTCGGACACCTCGAAACAGACTGTGCAAACGTATTGAGGGCGAAGAAGCAGTTTCAAACTGTTCTGACTTTTTTGAATTGTGTTATTGCCAATCAATCGTCCAAGCTTGCGTTTGTTTATTCAACTGATATTTTTATACTATCGAAGTAATTCTTTGAATATAAAAAAATGCCACTTTAAAGCTTCTGAACTCACCCAAATTATATCGATACATGCACATAAGCAACGCGGTCGATAGCACCTAAACAAAGAAAAATCACTGTGTTACTGGAATCCTGGTACACACTTTTGTTTTGGTCGTTGTCAGCCTTTCTGGCGCTTCTTTGTGCTCACTGTTTAGCTTTACCTATGCATAAAGCATGAATGACTTTTCCTTCACTTTACTGAATAGAAAATAATTTGGACTTGCATTGATACTGCAAAGCAGTACACCCACGACGAATACGGAATAGCGTAGATTATAGATGCACGGGAACACCGAAACGATTCCTCTCTCGATGACAGCACATAGAAAGCCGAACATAGCAAAATCGAAGCAGCTAATTTGGAATAAACTAATTTCTTCCTAAAGCGAAAAAACGCTAATATTGCGACCTTCTCAAGCACTGATGTTAGTTCAAGTCGGTTTTATGGGATTTAGGACAATATTAAGGAATTATCTAGCACCGTTACACCTAATGAGAGGTTTCTTTCAGGTGCAGTTCGCTGCTCGTTGCAGAGCTTTTTTTTCTATTGAAAGAGGAGGCTCACCAATACAGCAGTGTTGCTATTCCCGTAGCTAGAAAGTCGAACAATGACATAAGTGATCCTCAGGAGATCTATTCCAAGGTATCCCACACCAGCCATAAACAAGCATAGCCTGCAGAAAAATCTTAAGACATCAAAAATAATTCTCGAACCAAATTCCTTGGAAAATTTAAAATGGGACAAGAAAG